GCTAACTCACAAAATACCTACTGTCCCTAGTTGCTTTAATTCAAAGTGAAATTCCAATAATTTACCGAGGCTTTGATTGTTTACTTTAAATGGATCGAGAGCGAACCATGTGCCGTAAGTATTGACGTTTAAATAAACCTTGGGTGGCCGATAAACAACCAATAAAAGCTTTATGAGCCTTCTAATGAATATGAATATTATCCAGTTATCATAATTCAAATATTGATTCATTCTATAACAGACGGAACAATTATTTCTTGGTATTCAACTCATTTACAATTCAATCCCGGTATTTATCTCTTATAATGTCTGCCACTATGTCCCTTGGCAACATTGTGGCTCGTGTCGTTTTCGACAGCGCCGTTTTGGCGCTCCTCCCCGGTCTCCTACAAAAGTACACATATACGTTATACACTAGCTGCTTAGTGTCTGCCGGTAGCTCAACCTTGGTGTCCTCACTGGCTTCTACTCCTCTCCCACTATAAAGTCTCCTCCAACTGAACATGGTCCATGCAGTCATTGCTTCGGCCCCGTATTGCGCCGTGTTGCCTTCAAATATACGTATATAGAGTCGTTTTGTGAAGCCTTTTACCAAGACTGTCTGAAGATTACACTTCAAATAAATACCTTCTTGCTTTCTAAAGCTACACTTAGACTTCTTGAAAGCGGATATAAAGTTTACTTTGTTGTCTCTTGTTTGGCAAAGGACAACAAGACGTGCGCACTGAGTGTTAAGATCTATTAAAATCTTAGTCATTAAATTTTATTTCCGCGTAAGATTGAACGTACTAAATAACCGTCCAGTCGGAATGATACCCGGTAACTAATGGTGCAAAATGATTGAAAGACGGCATCAGCAGTCAGGTCACACGGCCCAGACATCCGCTGCTGCCGACGTGACTAACCTTTGGACTTCGATAATATTCCTAGATTTGTATTCAACTTACTGTGTTCTTATGATAACCAAGGACAGTGTACTGGTAGCCGTTATGAAAAATAAAGTACCCACAAACCTTGTAGGGTTCTCTTGCGGTGCCACACCGTTATTTTCTAAACATAGACTGCTTATTGATTTTGTATTTAAACACGTTTCGATTGACATACTGGTGAACCGTTAAAACCTACATGAGCCAGTCTTTGACGGCCTATTGGTCAGTAAACTAAAGTACTTTTGCTCTCTTTCCTGCGAACAAAATAGCTGGTCTTTTACAAATGAGTCTCATATTTCGCTTTTCTCGTGTCTACACGCCTTGTAAACGTTGCAAAATTACGTATTGTTACACGTACATATTATTATTCTGCTTTTGTTTCGCTATGTGAGCAGTTGAGCGCCTTTATATTGTACGTTTACCCGTACAAAGTCTCCGCAATAAGATAACTTTTGAGGAAATTGCTAAAATGTTTTCTGTTGACATCAAGTATTCATTAACACATTTCACGTCTAATAAAAAATGCTTCCATGATATATTTTTGATAAAAGATGTCTGTGTGGCAAGTTCAAAACATCATTAATAATGTAGAAGCCATGGTAGCCTAATGGTTTGACCGCCTCGTAAGCGGAGGCCGTGGGTTCAAATCCGGACTGGCACCTCTGAGTTTCTCGGAATTTATGTACGAAATGTAATTTGAAATTTACCATGAGGTTTTCGGCGAAGGAAATCATCGTGATGAAACCTGCACGTCGACGAAGGTTTACAACCCTCGGAAAAGTGTGAAGTCCCCAAACCGCATTGGGGCAGTGTGGCGGTTTATGGTCGAAACCCTCGAGGATGATTAATATCTGTAGTTTTCTTTAAAACGAATATGTTTATATTTTATTAATTTCCATTTAAAAGTCGCAATCATAATTTGGAATTATTACGAAATTGAGTCACTACTTTTGCGAATATACGGTAAATTACTTATATAGTCTGAAATTTCACAATAGTCTTGATTTGAATAAATAATACAATATCTCCGACTATTGGATAAACAATCAGGTCGTGATAACGGTGAAGCGTTGAATGGGATGAAATAGTTAGCGGAAATGGACGCAGGGGATACAATCAAGCCGCCAATTTTACGGTCATCGCCGGGACAACGTCCCCGACACGAGTAGCGGAACACTCGAAACGACTACCATTTTCCTACACAGTGAATAACACCGTGTTTCAGTTTTACAATTTGCAATAACAAATGCATAGGTCTTGCTTCGAGGTTAATTAAAAAAACGTAAGCCTCGTAGTCTTAAAATCATTTTCCAGCATTTTGTATAAAATCGTTCAAGCGAAATTGCAAAACTCTGTAATAGATGTCTACGTTATAATATTGTGAACCTAAGCACCTACAATTTAATTGCAGCGCTTGCATTGATATTTAGGAGGAATCTTGTTACTTAGAGAACAAACACAACGATGTTTATTAAGAGTCCGAAAGACACGTGAATCACACACGGACATTAACATCGCAAAGTAAATGTGGGACGATATGAGAGACATGCTTGCTGCATAAATTAGTGTAATTATGTTAATATACCTTAATCACGGGCCTTATTTAGTTTGTTCAAAAAAAGGTTTGACGAAACCTCAAATATCCGACTTGATTGCTTGTCTTTACGCTCTACACTTTCTAAGGTCATTGTGACGAACTGTGGTTCGTACACCTAAAAATAAAATGCTCTTGTTTATATATGGCGTTTCACTTGCATATAAATTTGTTTTGTCCGAAATTACGTTTGTTCGAATTTTCATTACACCGAAAATCGAATTGTAACGAAACAGTTGTTCTTTCAGGATATGTTGAATGTTTATCGCAAAGACACGATTAGGTTTGGTTAGGTTAGATAAAGTTAGGTTTGAAAGAAAAAACATTTTCCTCTCAAAATTACTTTCGAGGTTATGAAATTTCGACCAAACGTTATTTCTGGAAAATGTCATTTCAAGTCTGAGTAGTCACTGATAGGTAACCATCAAAATATTGAAAATACTAACTCAGATACAATCCAACATCATCAACCCATTCAAACATCCCACTGCTGGGCATGGGTCTTTCTCAGACGAGAATTTAGCGCATATTATAGAATTTAGCATTTCGTTCACCGAAAACCTCATGGTAAATTTCAATTTATATTTCAAAGTTCCGAAAATTCAGAGGTACCAGCCCGGATTGGAACCCACGCTTGAGAGGTGATAGGTTAAACCATAAGGGTACTACTACAGCTATTATATACGATCGAACGTTTCGGCCGTATCATTACAATCACTTATAAGTGTATAGCTATGTACAATAGATGAGGTCAGTTTCGTAATCAACAGTAGTACGACTCCATTGCCAGTGTTATGGCAATACCGACTATTGTCATAAGAGGCGTATCAAAGTTACTAAAGCATGTGTGCCGACTGTACCGTTACTTGCATACTCTTATGTAATAAAGAATTTAACATTTATCCCATTCACAAGTTTTGTTAAGGTTTCCTTTCGGAGGGTGTCATAAACTCCATATTCATGATTAGTGAAGCCAGTCGTAATTTTGTACGCTTATAAAAGTGTTATGCCTAGTTAGTTTGTTACAGTCGTTCGTCGTTACTATGTTTATGACGTTTTTACAACTATACACGTAGTTAAGTGCTTGTAAACTAAAATGTAGTAACATATGGAGATCACTGACCTACTATTTTGTTCATCATCATTTTTACAGTCATCATCATTATCATCCACAACGCGAATTCACTCTACCATTATCTTAAATTTTTACAGTATTTTGGTAATATTCTATTAAATCATTAAACAATATCCTCTTATGAAGAGAGGGTTTAGGCTGCAGTATTTTATTGCCGCTTTTAAGATTTCCTTCCTGCCATAATATCTAATTTTCGGTAGGTAATTAGATGTACTTTAAGTTATGATACGAGGTAAATCAAAAAGTTTTCAAGGAAGCTAGGAAGCATGACGTTTATTAGTGTAATGTCAAAAATTTATGTCATTATTATGTATATAATAATAAAATAAATTTAATAACACAGAGCAATCCGGGCTGCCGTAGTATGCGATGAGTCAGTCCATGACTCAATATTGGGAGAGAAAAAATCAATTTCATGTATCACCGGCGCAAGCGCAAGAATTTTTGAGATCAATGAGAACATTTTAAATGTAATTAATATATATTTTTTCGTTTATATTACCATTATTTGCGTCGAATGAACATGTTATTCATGCTTTTACTATACAAAAACAATATAACAAAAACGTACATTTTCAATAATTGTCTTGTACCAGTTACCAAATAACAGACAAAGAGGAGAAAGGCACTGGAAGCGTGCTCGTACTATAAATAAGCTAATGCACTCTTTCTTTTTTCTTTCTCAAAATACGCCTCCCATTCGCGACATATGTTCAGCATCGGACGCCAATAAAAGCGGGGAGCGATTTGCACCTGCGTCCGTCCCACTCGCACGCGCTCGATCCAGCTGTTGCTCCGGCGCATGCTTACAACTCTCCTCGGAAAGATGTGCTCCATATGGCGACATCACGATCGTGAGTGATCTTGATGTAACAGTTTGATGCACGACTTTTTCATTGCTGTAAATGGACTTCCAAAGCTCTTCTACTCGTTTTACACGACTCACCTTCTTGAATAATGATTAAGATGATCCTTGCAATCTCCGATCATTCATACTTTTATTGAAATGAGATAGACATACTTGTGATTTTATAATAGGTAATATTTATTAAACGATTATCGTCAATTAATTAGGGATAATACACATTTAAACCTTTCATCCGTTACAAGACCTTATAACTGCTGAATTACTTCGAACATTTATTTACTTTACAGAACTTGTATCAAAATGTTTGTATCGAAACCGAATTAAAAGGCTGGCTGTCCAAATGATGATCTCACCGGTCTTCAATCTTGACAATGCAAAGCAAAGGACCGGTTGTGAGCGGGGTGAGGCGAGGCAAGGGACGGGGCAGCACTGCAGGGTTTCTGCGATTCACCGCACGCCAGGCGCCGTCGCGTACGACTCACAGTCAGTCAGTACGACAGTAAAGGCCGCTCCATGCGCGGCGCGCGCGCGCCTCAACCAGTTCACTAACTGCCACATTCCTAAAAAATTTTTCTAGTCAACATGGATTTCAGTGCTAAAACTAACACTATTTGTGTAAATTCAGAAAAAGTGTCTTAGTTTTGTAGTCGTTACTCGCTACGGTCCAAAGAACAATGCTGTGGGAAAAAATAACGTTCAGCTGGCATCGGCAGTCGTTCCCAGCTACCTACCTAACCTCTCTCCCCCCGCCGGTTGCCGGGTTCAATGCGCCTCTCTGCGTTTATTCATCGTTTGTGGGAAAAGTTGACCCCCCGTTTTAAGAATTATTGTTAACGAATTCACACGATCCGTGTTGTAGACTACCGCATCTTAGATGAGCGGATTGAATTTTTTATTTCAAGTTTTTTTATGATTTGTGTCATCAAAGTTGACGAGCAGCAGTGACCGGTCTGTAAATTTTTGAGATTCTGCTAAATTGTCGGTGTAGTGATAGCCACTTATTGTGTGAGGCACCAGTGTAACTGTTAACGCCAACGTAAAGTTTTTTATACGCAAGACACCAAGGTTACAACATTCCAAATTATTTGTTTTGGGCTATACCATGTTTGCGGAGTTTCAACATCGTCGAAATTATTATCTTACTGTGCTACGAATAGTGTGTAGTTATCAGAGGAGAACAATACATTAAAATAGGGCAACGTGTGCAGTGTTCATCCATGGAGTTTTGTATCTGTTACATTTAAAATTCATGTTTTCAACAAATTCCATAGAATATTTGAATTCGTTATTCGTAAAGTGAATGATATATTATGTGCAGTGCGTGACCTGATTTATTTGGGATTTCTAAAATTTCAACTTCAAGATGGGAAACCAAGGATCATCGCCCCATGAACCCCTGGACCGGGCCCAGGCTCAAACACAGAATGCTGATCTCAAAATGGTTAGACACTTATTTGATTGCACTCATCAATATTCCGCATAAAACATACACTGACTCATTGAATAAACCGGCTATGGCTTCGTTTATTGTTTGACGTACTCAACACACCTATTTCTGATGCATGCTATGATCAGAAACCGTTGCTGCTTGCATAATTATTTACGTGGAATCGTAAACTGCTCATGTTGGTTGTTTTTTTGTCGTTTTCCTGTTGGTGGTATTTACATATAAGATTAAGCAAACTACGTTCGCCCAAATTAAGATCAAATGAACAATATCGTCTACATCATATACGTTGTGGTGTATAGACGACTACCATTATCGAAGGATTCTTTTCAATACTTAGAACAGCTCTTTCTGTTCTAAGAATTGCTATTTCCAAGTAAAATATCGATTAAGTCAATTGTGCACTGTAAAAAAGGGTAAAGTCCAGTGAAGGCCTTGTCTTCAAACTACCTGATACATATGTACAGTCTGACTTGACTCGCATGTGTTGGTAAATGTATTACAATTGTATTCTTGTCACTTGGACATTGAGTGGAACTCTTCTATAAGATTTGAGTGATTAATAGGTACAACCTTGATTTCAAATCTGCTCGAATACATTGTTTTTCACTTGTGAGTAGGTACTTAGTAATAAACAACATTTTTAATATTTTGTGTACTTAAACCACGGAAAAAATTTTTGACCACTTTAACTATGAATTTTTTATCGATATCAACAAAGACGCTGACTGATGTCATAATAAAAATGCGTTACTAAAACCAAAGCCATTGAATCAGAGTTCGAAATGATAATAATCATTGATATTTTATCTTTATAATTATCTTGATCATTATAAAATTCATTGGTAAAACAAAACTACCTCTACCAATATTGTGCGATATGCATCCAAGCACGATTTGCCGCTTCGAGGCGGATCCAAACGTGTCAAATGTCAAACTCAAAATAAGTAAGTCGCGAAACAATATTTCCAAAAATTTTTCCTTGTGTTTATTTTATAGTCGTCACTTTTTAAGAAGTCCAATTTGACAGCTAAGAAAGACGATGTTATGTAACATGAATACAATCAACGAAACAAATAATTATTAACTTGTTTGGTTTTTAAAAATTACATTAATTTTAGTGAAACATTATATAATTTGATACAACAAACTTCAAGTATTATTTTCGTACGAATTCCAAAATTAAATGCAATTTTGAGTTAGTCCAAAACGTCGTAACAGTTGGTTCTCAATATTTTTTTTTTTATTAATCCTGTTGTCACCAATTAATCGCCGAATTTCACAGAGTCATTTAAATTTCACTTAAAAAAATATTGGCTTATTTAAATATTAAAACAAAAGTTCAAAACAACCCAGTAATCAGAACCTTAAAGGCAGAATTTTTTTTTTGTTTTCGTCTTTGCAAATTTTATTACTATATTGAGCTAGCCAATTGATGATTTTGGCTCATCTTCTGATGAAAGTGAATAAATATTTCAACTATGAAGTATTTTTTGTTTTCCTTGGGAATTTTGGTAGTTAGGTAACTTCAGGTTGTCCTTGTGAACTTTGATTAAATAATGCACTACAACAACTACTACCTACAGATTGTCATTGTAATCATTTAAAATACTTGCTTATAATTTATATTGAACTCTATATTGCATAAATAAATGTTAATTGTTCTATCTATTACTGAAAACAAAAGACTCGAAAAATAATCTAAACGATCGCAAATTCACAAAATTTCGAATCGATCTCTCATGAGAACCGTTAAAAAAAGTAAAATGGTTATTAATATTAATTATTATATTAATTTTTTATGGTTACCGATATGTTTAGTTACATCCCTTCATTTATTGACCTTGCGATGGTAAGGTGCCTCTTATTTTGTGACGACTATTATAGCGTTCGTTAAATAGTTGTAAGATGATGGTTTCGTAGCCAAAGCTCAAAAAATTTGTTTTCTTACTGTTTATAAACGTTTACTGTACTTTTTTTTTTTGTATTTGTTGACTTTTACTTATTTATGTACGTGTAGTATTTTTTTAATGCAGAAATATAACAGACACCAACGAGCATTGACATGGATAAGCATCGAAGAAAATAATTAGCTGGCAAACAACTGAAACCGACTTTCAATTGTTTATTCTGAATCTTTTAGTATAGTAGGTACAAACTATTCTTGAGAAATAATTGAAACTTCTTCGGCCGTGTTTGTTTTGGAAACATGTCACAAATACAAATCTAAAGACCGCAGATGAAAATGGCAGTCAAGTGTGCAAATTATGTCCCCAGGCGGCGCATTACCACGAACGATCGTGAAGACTAATAAAATTGAACGTGGGCAGCTCAATTGTGTCGTATTTCGTGAATGTGCAGAAAAACGCGTAACAAATACGCTTAATCTAATAATACTAAATACTTTGTTTTTATTGCGTATAATTGAACACAGAACTCATTGACCATGGGCTATGGTCGGGGAAATAAAAAAAACACTGAGAATTGAGAACCCCCTATCACTAGCTACTAATACTAGATATTTATTAATAACATCAATAGCTACGGGTCTTTGCTTAATATGTATTAATAGCAAAGACAAACGCTAGTAGATAGATGTCGTTGATTTATAGCGAGTCATTATCCTGCAGGGTCATTTTCATCAGAGTTCCGTAAATTTTTCATGTTTTGGCTAAAACTAATTTTCAATTTTTACAATTTCAGTTCAATTACAGGGTTGAGAGCACGTCAAGCTTGACACTTAACATTTAAATCCAACTCTATGCCACTTACGATAAGAACGGTCCAAAGTACAGTGTCAAGCTTGACGTGCTTTTGACTGTACTACTCATTTTGATAGGTTAGTGACTTAACAGTGCAGTAACTTATTTGTAATTTTAAATAATCTGTTAAAGAATAAAACGCAGACTTAATTTTTTATATATTTGAAACACAGCGATGTACACTTCTATGGAACAGAGTTTTGAGTATAATGTGTTGCCACAAAACATAGCGCATATTTAACATGAAATCTATCATATATTTTACAAAATGTTGTCTATTAATATAATCAAATAAAAAAAATGTAATGTATATTTAATGTTAAATTTATTAATTGAACATAATCTATTAAAATTATTACTTAAAATAAAAACAATAAACTTAGATCATTCCATTCTATTAAACGCCTGACTCATTCATATGACATTTTCAATATAGGTAATTATTAGGTAACAGGTATGTCTCACTGTAGCCGGAACCTGCTGACGTGCTCGTCGACCGAGAATGATTGTCATTCCATTTTTGATCTTGAATTTCATGTTTGAAGCACGTAATCATAGTTCTCCGAATGTAGTTCCATATCTTCATTACGTTCCGTAGGTCTTTGTTTTATTTTTTACTTCACACGTGAATTGTAGCTCCATCATGAGGCAGTATTATGTAAGTGCATTACTATCTGTGTTATTTTGATTATTCTATTTATGGAAAGAGCCAAATTTTCAGTCACCACCTGATAGGATCACTAGGGTTACTAGTTAAAAAATGCTTAATTTTTTGCATATTTTCTATTGTTTATAATGTTGGAAGATATGAAGAGAATGATAAATTTGGAAAAAACGTTACAATTTAATTTACATATTAATAAAATAACAAATGAATTTGACTTTATGTGCTTCAGACGGTAAATGTATTAATTTACATAATAGACGTTGGTTTTTCACTTATGTGCTTTAGTCCACCGACCCTAGCATTCTTGTTCCATTTACATCTTAAGCAACCCCAATTTTTTTCTGCTGACATGGATTCTTTGCGGGTTGGAGTCGACCCCTGAGGGTCCATTATCTATCGACCTTATAGACTTCATTGGCAATCATCGATTTAGATTCTAATTAACTACGGTATATACTTAATTAGATCCGTTTCCGAACCTTTCTCTGTGACTTTGGCGCAAAGTAGTGTAGTACTAAAAAAAATATAAGAGCTTTATCAAAAATTTATTCGAATTCTACATGTTAAGTTAATTGTATTTAATAGTGTAGGATCATTGAAAATTTTCCATCATGTTTTTCTGAATATTTTCCTATATCTTTCCACATTTGACAGTGACACGTATCAAAATTTGAATTCGAGATATTAAAACTATACGGTTTTCGAGTTCTTAGGTTTTCGCGATTGTTACACATAGGAAATGAAACTATTTTTCCGGATTTAAATCGTGTATATTTGTTTTTTTTTTCAAGCAATTTGTAGCGTAAATTGGAATGTTTCTTTTTAAAATTAAAAATAAGGTATTTAATTAATAACTATTGTAACTATAGTGAAAAATAGGGTGGTTTATTAGACATAATATTAGACATAACTGGTTGAAGATTGTATCACCTCAGTCAACCGTGACCATGAGACCTGTAAAGGGCCCGAAACGTCGGTTTGTTTGAAAAAACAAATATACGCGATTTAAATCCGTAAAAATAGTTTCATTTCCTATACGTTTTTGTAAGAGAAAGAGACAGTGTTTACTAGACAGTGCTGTTGCTCTGGTAGACAGTATTGGCTATTACAATTTCGTCTCGTTTGACGTGTTTTCTACTTTTTGTTTGTAAAAGACCATTGAAAATATTAGTTAAAATAACAAACAGCAGCCTTCCTTCGCATCGGGTTTGTTAATTTTTAATTAGCGTTTTCTTATGGTAAGCGAATGACAAGTGCATCATAGTGTATCAATAGAGCTTCTATTTCTATAGGTGGGTATAACGCACCTTTAGAATGAAATAGACTTATAAAATATAATAAAAAAATAAAAAATAGTTTATTATACCGTAAGAGCTCGTGTCCACGCTAAGAAAAGTCGCCGTGTCTATGCAAGAATTCGTATCATTTCTACACACGAACTGTGTACACTGCCTTGGCGCCGAACAAGTAAAAATCTTGTCTATCCCCGACACGACGCGCTCTGCCGCTATTGTATGGGGCGGGGTGAGGTGCATTATTAGTAAACGGACGTTTACTAATAATGC